GGTTGTTTGTTTGTTTGTTTGTTTTATTTGTCTTAATTATAAAATACTTAATAGATCCCTTTTTATGTTAGTAGCCCCCCGCTAAAAAAAAACGCTTCGACGTCCCTGAGCCAGAATCAAGACATACACACGGTACTGATAACATCACGTCTCCCAAATATATATCGGTCAAAACCGTGCTAATTTTGATATTTTTTGAAATTCTGTGGTGCTTTAATCTTTTGCCCTGATGATCAACATTGTACTCTTAACGTTTGAAGTATACAAATTGATTTGAAATGCTGTAATTATGTGTAGCTCTCATGTCTTCAGTACTGCCTGGATATCCTGTACTTATGAGGCGGTATTTGACAAGGATAAATTGTTCACTAAAAGAAGACCAATTCAGTATTGTATGAATATAAATTGAGCGGAAGCCACTTGACACATTGAGTGTAACAGTTAAAAGTTTTAAGTACCTGAAGGATGCACAGAACATTATTCAATTTCTCTCTTCTTCGTATCTATCGGATTTGCTACTTACAGTGTATTGCTGGTTTTCAAGTTACGTTACAGTTGACATATGGAGAAACTYTAACAATGGAAAAAATGTTGAATAGCATGGTTGCTATCCCATCACTGGATTTTCACTGTTTCACGGTGACTGTACCAACATCTTTATCTTACTATATATATAGTTCTGAAAAGGGTCAAAAATTGCTTAAGTTTACTGACATATTTCTTGATAATAGCAAAAAATAATTATAAATTTATACAAAAGTTTTCAGTGGACCTCTACCACAGCTTGACGCACATACAGCTGCGTCATTCGATCCGACAGTTTTCCGAATGCTCATCCCAAATCAATCGATCACCTAAAAATATAATCATTTTTTTAAATATAAATTGAATAAATTGAAGAAAAAGGCACACAACTTGAAACTAGTATTTCTACTCTTTATTATCAGAGAATATCTCAGTCAATTCCGATCCAGCATAGCCTCATTTAGCATCCGCCCCTGTGTTGTCACACAACGCTACTTCCATGGCTGCTAAAGGGGGCTACAGAGATCCAGTGAAGATTAGCCTTTAAAAAGCAAACGACGAGGCAATCTTYKCTAGAGCTTATTAGCTCTTTTTTCAAGCAATTGATTATATTTTCTGTATTTCGGGACGGCTTGAAAAATCAGTGAYTGAGCGCACGCTAGAATTTATGTAATTAGTGTAGGAGTGTTGACCACATCTAAAATAGTTSCATATGAAACAACGAGTTGATTTTTTATCGACCGACACAAAGARTCTCGTGTCTGGTTTCTTGGATCCACCACAAAACATTTATTGATAACACGCAAATGTAATGTGACTCGAAATATCCAATTTTGCATCCACAGTGTATAACTGAATTTCGAGCTGCTTTACTCATTTATCTACAATCATTTAATCAAACT